AAATATTTTTTGAAGACATTTTCATGATTTTTTTGAGAGCAATTTAACAAGCTATTATTGTTACAAATATTAAAAGTATTCAAAATGGACAAAATTATTCAACCACTCTCACATATTTAAAAAGATTCTTTTTTACATTTTAATAGAGATATGAGGTAATATTTTTAAAAAGTTAATGGTAGCTTTATATAAAAGTTTATAAAATCTGTGAGAATCGGTAAAAGTTTTTGAAAATTGAATATATTGTTTGTGTTCTTTTATTTCATTTTATCAATTTATTTTTTAATTCATGTTATAATATCGCGACATGTTATTTGATCATTCTTTTGAAAATGATATGAAAAAATAATATCCTTTCAATCGTTTCTATTAATTTAAAGTTCGAGTTAAATTGATCGTTTATAAAGATAAATTTTTACTTATTACTATTTAACATTTTTTTATTATTATTTTTTTTTTTGAGTTAAAAATTACATAATTTAAGAAATTTCATGCGTGTTAAGAAATATTATTCAAATATTTATTTTCATAATTCATCGATTAAAATTCTCCAATAAACAAATTCGATCTAAATAATACGAACAATAAATTTCCTCTTTACATTTTTACAAATCAATCAAGAAAATGGGAAGATAATCGAGCACAGAGAATAATAAAGTCACGAAAACAATAGATATTCAATATTTACTCTCGATCGATCGATCGATCCAATTCGAATAAAAGTTTCGAAAGAGAAAAGCTTTCCATCTCTTTCGCGATAAAATTACATCTTTGGAAGAGCGAATTAACCAATTACTTCCCTTAATAAAAAGAAAAAGTACATTCTTCTCCCGCAATCGTCGAGAAGGATCTCGTACATTCTTCTTCATTTTTTACCCTCCCTATCTCGGACAAATTGCTCGATTCACTGTAATGGATCGAGGCATGTTTCGGGTGACTCATGTAGGCCAATATAAACCGCGGTGACTGGGCAATATCGGAAGAGGAAAAAAAAAGAAAAGAAAAAGCTTTTCTTCGAGAAGTGGAAGCGAGAAACGACCAAGAGGATCTGTCGACCAGCCTTGACCCTCTACAAATCCACCACTCTCTATACTCGACCACGTTTCTCAATCCGCGAGAATCGTCACAATTTTGCAGAGAGCGCCCTCCATCCCGCTCCCTCTATCATCGTAGTTTATGCAGCTATACGATAAAGCTCGCTTCAGTTTGTTTTGAGCTTGGTGATCATCGTTTATCGCTTTGATCATCGAGTAGACAATAGGGACCGATGAAGCTTTTAAATCGTTTGATACGTTCCCAACAAGAACAACCAGGTCTACGTTTACACACGCCACTATCAATTTCGAGACTCGTCCTCTCTCTTCTCTCATGGGGAGTGTGAAATATTTTTCCGTTCTTTTGCGTTTTCTCTTTTCTCTTTTTTTTCCTTCTTTTAATTTTTTTTTCCCTTCTTTTTCAATATATCCACGTAAATCAGTAAAATAGCCTGTTAGTAATTTTCCAATAGGGAAAAACAAATTTTTATATGTAAATACGAAAATAGTTCGATACCCGGCATTCATTACATCGATCTTACGTTTTTTGCAATCAACGGACAAACGTTTTCGTTACGTTCCAAAGGATGGAGATACGCTACGCTGGTAGCGTGTTGCAATCGACGAAAGCGTTTTTGTTACGTTTTTTTAGGAGATGGAGATACGCTAGATAGATAGTTGGAGAAAGAATGGAAGTTTTTACCGGTCTCTGCTTTTTATGTTTTTACTGTTTATCGTAACTTTTCTCTCGGGGCAGAGATTGAAACGGTTACTTGTAACACATTGTAGCTTGATTTTCAAAATGAAAACAAAAAGAGAAAGAGAGAGAGAAAAGAAAAAGAGAAAAGTAAATAATATAACGAATAGTTTGGGAATGGTTAGATTACAGTATTCTTGGCCGCAATTTTTATCGATTATGCCATTAAAGAACTGCTAACGAGGCCCCTGCAGTTTTCGAACGTCATTAAACTAATGTCGCATACGTTGCGGTTTCTTTCTTCTCCATTGTGGCTAAAAGCATTCTATAATATTCCCTGAATCTTACTTTTTCTTTTTTTTTCTTTTCTTTTTTTTCCAGAAATATTTGATTAACATTTGCTCATTTCGTTTTCATTTTCTTCGTTTTTTTTTTTAAATTTAATTGTTTCAATTTCCTCTGATGTGCGTGGTATCTAAATAACATTTAATTAAAATTATTAACGAAAAAAATTTAAGAATCAACAAAATTTTTCGCTTCAAAAATCACTTGTTAATTATCACGAATTATACGGAATTTGAAATTTTATTATCGTAGCAATTTTTTCTTTCAATTCTTGAATTGACAATAATAATATAAAATTAATTTGTGCGATTAATTTCGCGATTTTATCAAATAATATTCTATTGTATCGTTTTAGAGATTAGTTTAGAGATTAAAAAATATGGAATTAGAAAATAATAATAACACATTTGTAACATCTAAATCTCTAATCGTAATTGCAAACATTTCCAAATTTTTTCGAATCTCGAATTTGAAAACGAAATTAAGTTAAGATAATAAGAACATTGTCGTATCTCTAATAAAATCTAAGAGTAAGTTTATAGCGAATAGATCACAGTCGCAATAATCATAGTTATTTATCAAAAAAAAAAAAAAAAACAATTAATTCATTAGAAATTAAAAATTGAAGAATGATTGAGTTATTGATTTTCGATAAGTACAAAAGAGTTCGAAAGAAAAATTGTCTCTTATTTTTCATTTCTTAGAAAAATTTGTATGCCTAAAACCGACATAGAATAGAAAATTCCTATAAAATCTCAAATGTGTTGACTTGCAATTTAATCGAGAGATGCTCGAGAGATCGATATTTAATTTTGTTTAAAACTTTATGAATAATTAAAATTTTAAATAGAGATATTATTCAATATATTTTCGTAAAAATATTGAAATAAAATTTGCGATAAATAACTAAAATCAAAATTGTATGACATTTTTCAATTTCAAAGTTTATGACAAAGTTGTTACAAGGCAAAAAGATTAAAATAAATGCAATAGCACAAATCAATTTATATTTTTATCATAAATCTGAAGTTCAAAGATATTGTAATATATATTGTAATATTATATTATTACAAGTAGTATAATTATATATTATTAAAATATAATATGAACTCTTTCATATAATAAAAATCCACTTTTTTTTTAAATAATTGAATTCAAGTCTATACTTATTATTAAGATTTTAAATCGCTTGGAAATAAAATTACAAAATTATAAATAAATTAATTCTTTATTTTATACCAAACTATAAATTTTATTATAAATAAATTCAGAAATAAAAATAAATATAATGATTCAAAATAACAGAAGATTATAAAAATTCAGGAAGAATATTAAAACAGTTAAAACAAGATAATACAATTAAAAATTAATCATTCTCATTTCTTTTCTCTTCCCGAATTTCCTCTTCCATTCATATCTTCCATATCATTTTAATGCTATTATCATATTTCATCTTATATATTTACGCTTGATGTCAGAAAAGAGCTATGCGCAACAATATGAGTCGAGGTAATCGGGCTAAAATTTCGTTCCCATAAATCGAACGCTGTATAATACTATATAATATCCTCCAACGATAGATAACGACCTGCGTGTTATCCCGAATTCGGGAGATTCGTGGGTCGACCCCGAATTACCATTACCGCTTAACCAAAAACCTAATTCGAAATTCCAGAAACATGGGCCCCGGATGAAATGCGCCGCCTGCCGAGTGGTTGCCCACGCGGTGTGTGCGGTGAGCCTAAATTTCGCCTGTAAATCGAGTTTCCGGGACGTTGGGGTCCGCCAATACCGGGAACAGACAAACACTCTACACCACTGGGTACACCGCCGCTCGCAGAAGGGAAAATGCGCGAATTGCGGCAAATCGTTCCAATCGAAGCTTAGCTTCACATCGAAGGAGATCGTCGCTGTGAGTTGCAGCTGGTGCAAACTCGCCTACCACAACAAGGAGGCGTGCTTCAACGTTCAGAAGATCGGCGAGAATTGCGAGTTGGGCGTTCATTCGTCCATCATAGTGCCGCCATCTTGGATTGTGAAGCTGCCCAGGAAGGGCAGCTTCAAGAGCAGCTTGAGAAAGTCGCCTAGGAAGAAGAAGTCTGGGGGTAGTAGTGGCAGCACGTCGAGCAGAAAGAAGTCGAAGGATAAGGACAAGGAGCAAGATAACAAGGATCAGGGGAAGTTGTGGGTGGTGAAACCCATACCCACGCCCACCGTGAAACCCGTGTTGGTCTTCATTAACCCGAAATCGGGCGGGAATCAAGGTGCAAAGTTATTGCAGAAGTTTCAGTGGCTGTTGAATCCTAGGCAGGTGTTCGATCTGACTCAAGGCGGACCCAAAATGGGGTAAGTGAGTTTATGAATAATAAATTCGTAGAGAATGTTATTTAACGTTATTTAATGTTTTTTTTTTCGAGGTCACAGAAATATTTTGTATTAGGAAAGAATTATATTACGTAGAAATTTGAATTTTATTGAAAATTTGTTGTATGTATAATGGGTTATATATGAAGCAATTTTTTTGTCGATAGGAAATCTCTTTGAGGGAGTTTGAAAAATTTTAGCATTTTTGAAAATATTTTTCACAACATAGTGATTGAATATTAAAAAGTAAATATTTTGCAATTTAAAATTTTACTTCATCTCGTGTCACTACAATGTTATATTTAAAAGAAAAAAAAATGAAACTTTGATTTTAAACGTTAATTTTATCTACTCATATTTTGATATTTTACTAAAATATTACCATACGTGTAATTCATTATGTTCTATACAAAGTTTTAAAATAAATTTAAAAATAAAAAACGATCGATTGTATATTGAAATATTTTAACACATTGCGAACTGAAGTTTGATGAATCACTCTTACACTTATTATATTAAATTATTATTAATTAAAATTTTATATTAATAAATTTTTGATATTATTTAAGTTGTATTTATTATTTTCTCAATATATTAAGTTACATGTCTTTTAAATGAATCATAAGTAAAAATAAACTTTATATATTTTCTAACAATAATCAAGTCTGATGTATTTGTTTTAACAAGAATGTTATATAAAAAACTATAATAACTTCAATTTTATATGTCTTAAATTGATAGAATAGAGTTAGTTTTAATTAAAGAGGAAAGAAATGAAAATTGGAGATGGGGAATGTATTGATTTGATACAGCATTTATTGAAATGGCAAAATATTATTATTCAAGAATGAAACTGCAAATAATATGTGGAATTGTAATATTACGTAGATAATTGCAAATTGATTTTTTGAATTTTTGTGAAGAAGATAATAAATTAATTAATAAATTAGTAATAAGTTGATTAACAAAATTTTTATGATTTTCTTTCATAAGTCATATATCACATTTGCATTTTTTTTTTATTACTTTAATATTATATTACGATATTTATGATAATTTAATTTTCTTTAATTAATTTATAGAATATTGTCGTATGCTAACTTTTACAATTTTACAATTTCAAAAACTATTTTGTCAGATATATACACGTTATTAGATATATATTAACAAAAGTTAAGAAACAAATTAATTATTTTGCGAATTTTATTATATTTTTTTACTTGGTCTTTATGAAATTTGAAAGAAAGTTATTATTCATTGATATATGAAATGTTATTTTTATATATTTTTATTAATAAGTATAATTTATAGAATGAATGTAATTAATTTCATGTTCTTTAACTAACTCATAGAATACTTTTCTTTTCAAGAATCAATATCTCAAAAGAGAATCAAATCTTTTGTTTTTTCCATCTTTGAATTGATTTGAATTTTGGCAAGAGATTAAGTTGATTGAATGAAAATTGAATTGAGTTCATTGGATTAGTTGAAAAGAGTACGATTTAGTGGAAAATATGATAAATGAATGAGAAATTTAATTAAAGTTTTGCGGACATGGCAGGCAGCCAGGAAATGGCTGAATAAAAGTGAACTTTTCAGTATAGAGCTTCTCGCTATGGTATTATCGAAATTTCCTTGAAAACTTTATTCAAAATTTGAAGCATTTCGTTTTGATTGTATGCTAACGATATGTTAAATAATTGTCTGTGAATTTTTTATTATTATAATTGAATTGAATATAGTGAATACAGTGATAAAAATTTCTTTAAAATTTACTTATTAATGAATGGTTTTGTATGTCCTTTTTTTTAAATAAACTTCGTCTTCTTGTTAAATGTTTACAATTTTTTAATTATGTGAATTATTAAATAAAAAATTATTTATATTCATTTATTAAAATTTGTTTAATATTATGATAAAATTTTTATTTTAATCATTAACGATATTTTAATCATAACAATATTTTTGTTAAGAATTCATTTTACGAAATATATATGTTCGTTTCTGATTTTTAAATATGTAAATTCATTAAAACACGAACATCATTTATATTAATGTTATAATATAATAATATATTTATTTATAAAATGTTTAATTATAAAACATATAAATGTTTTTGTATTATTTCTGATGCTATAGAAATTAAATAAAGAATATTAAATAAAAATCACATGTACATTGTAGAAATATTGAACATTTCATTTATATTTATCATATAAATATACAATATATTACATTTAATAACTTCAATATTAAATATTCATAAATAAAAGTAAAAAATTTCAATAATTTAACTTTTTTTTTTTTTTATGTTAAATATAATTTTACAATTTAGCTCATATGATAATATTGAATGATAAATAATTCATAACAGTTTGGTTTACAATTAATTGTATTATTTAATTCTAGAAAATAAAAAAAATAAATTTTAGTCAATGGAGATAACTATTATATTCTTTATTCTAACATTTTTTATTAATTTATTTATTATTATAATATGTAAAATTATACTTTAAAGTAATTTTTCTATCCTAATCTTCATCAAAAATTATTAACTTTTAATTATCTTTTCTCATTCTCCAATACTCATTCTCAATTAAATTATTATAATCTTTTCAACTAACCTGTATATATATATAATTTTCTCTTTTTCCAATACTATCTTCCTAATCGTTCAAAACTTCTTTATAACTCGAACGATAAAAACAAAAACAAAAATCAATTTCTTCTCATAATCATTATTTCTTAATCTTCGAATTCTCGCGTGAAATTCATTTGATATAGTTCCTCATTTTACCATCAATATCATTCTCAAATACCATCTAAATCTTCTTTACTTATCAACCCAAACAATGACGAAATAAACTAAAAATAAAAATCGGAAATATTTCTTCTTCATTTTTCAGGTTGGAATTATTCAAAAAAGTTCCTAATCTTCGAGTTCTCGCATGCGGTGGCGACGGTACCGTCGGTTGGGTGTTATCCATCCTTGATCAAATCGGCGCATCCCCACCTCCAGCGGTAGGCGTGCTTCCCTTAGGAACCGGAAACGATCTGGCCAGGGCTCTAGGATGGGGTGGTGGTTACACGGACGAGCCGATCGGGAAAATTTTAACAAACATAGGAGAGAGCGAGACGGTGTTGCTGGACAGGTGGCAGTTGATCGTCGAGAGGAATCCTGACGCGCAGGGCGACGATGATAACGGAAAGGGCAAAGAGAATCTACCTCTAAACGTCGTTAATAATTACTTTTCCCTCGGTGTGGATGCTCATATCGCTCTTGAATTTCACGAAGCTCGAGGTTAGTCCCTGTAGTCCCTCGTCCTCCCCTTAGAAAAGGGGTTTTTACCCCGTAATGGTGCGCAACAGTTTATTTAAATTATTTAGAAACGGTATCGTTTAACGCGTCGAGGAACAAGTATTATGTACTTGCCGAGGGAAGAACCTGTTGCCGGGTTATTCATATCTCATGCAAATGTCTTTTACTGGAGGGTGATATTACGAACGTTAACATTAAGCGGGATGAGTTTTACATGCGAATTTATATGACTTTAGGTGAATACGTGGGATAAGAATAGTATATATAGAGAAGGGTGAAAGATAGGTGTGAATTAATTTTATTGAAGTATATTATTTATTATTTTTTATTATTATATAATGGAAAAATAGCAATATGTTTTATTTGATTGGAAATATTTAAATATCTGGGAAAATGGTAGAATATTATGAAAAAATATTTCGGACAAAAGTTGGTATAAAAGATGTATCATAGAATTTTAATATTTTTTCTATAAATTGATGGATAAAAATCATAAGATCAATTTCAATTTTTGAATAAAATTATAATTGTAGTTTTTAATAATAAATAATAATAAATAATTTAATTTTTCTATAAAAGATTTATCATATAAAAGAGAAAAAATATAAGTAGCAATACTCTACTTATATTCTTTTTGTTTTTTATAAATTTCTAATTAATTTAAATTTTAAATTAAAATATCTTCTGAAATAAAGATTTTTCGACATTTTGTTTTTCGACAAAATTGTTTTCTTGTAGAAAATAACGAGCTGCATTGATTAATACAATAAAAATTATATAATTCCAATTAAAATTGATTTAATATAAATATAAATTTTGCAATCTATAGAAAATTATTAATACTACATAATATATCTTTTTATAAATATTTTTTAATATTATTCATATTTTATCAGATATTTGAGCTTTTCTAATTAAAGTAGACATATTTTATATTAAAGAAATTATTATGAAATTTAAAAATGTATGTTTTTTGCATATTTTTATTATTATTTTTGATTATAATAGTTTTTTTTTATTATCTATATACAATCTAAATTTTATTAACTTTGTTTTCATGAATATTCATTTTTATAAATAAATCTTTTTCTACATTTCTCACATTTTTATTGTATTAAAAAAAATTTTTATTAGTTACCTAATAATAGAGTTTTATAATGAAATATATTAAAATATTGTGAAAAGAATTTTTTGAAAATTCATAACATAATTTGTAATATAATTGTAAGAAAAATTAATTTTCATATTAAATAATATCGCAATTTTTCTCTTATTTTTATTTTAAATTTCTTTTAAAGAAACCACATTACTTATCAAACAATAATATTTTACTTTGAATTTCAAGATGTAAGGATAAATTCTAAGAATAAATTTACCCAATTATTATATTATTTGTATATAATACTTTATACATATTAAAATCTATTAAATTAAAATCTATTAAATATTTCACTTCAGACTAATCTTTTTTTATCTTATTTGAATTATTTACTTTGTTTTGTAATATTAAAATATCTTCGCCTTTTTCCTTTTTATATGAGTTAACGAAAAATAAAAAAAAAACATAATTTTATTACCGCGGTTAATGATTAATCTTTCCATTAATTATTTAATAAATAAATAAATCTTATTCACCTAGTATTCCTCATAATATAACATTGCATTAAAATAAATAAGTAACTAACTAAAATTTATTAATTAAAAGTAAGAGTAGCGAAATATTTATACTATTTTTAATTGCCAATTGTAAACAATAAAATAATTATAATATGTAATTGTAGAGCAAAACTAAGAATAAAAAAATTCGATTGTGTTACAGAGGCGCATCCAGAGAGGTTTAATTCACGGTTACGGAATAAAATGTTTTACGGTCAAATGGGCGGTAAGGATCTCGTGCGACGGAAGTGGAAAGATCTATCGGAATTTGTGATGTTGGACTGCGACGGTCAAGATTTGACACCGAAACTGAAGGAGCATCGTGTTCATGCCATAGTTTTTTTGAACATCGCCTCGTACGGTGGTGGAACCCACCCTTGGGGCAGCGCGAGCGGAACCAAAGAACCATCGACGGAAGATGGACTGATCGAGGTCGTCGGTTTGACCACGTACCAGCTTCCGCTTCTTCAAGCAGGTGGCCATGGTACGTGCATTGCTCAATGCAGCACAGCTAAGCTGGTTACCACGAGGACCATTCCAATGCAGGTGAATTTCCTTTTATTTTATATGTATCGTACTTTTATTTTATGTATGCATGAATATTTTATATTATTTTTTTATACTCTTTTTTTTCGTCTTGTTTTTATTAAAAATGTTTTTATTAAACATTATGGAAATTAATTTAAATTTATAAAAATATATTGAATGTGTTACACGTGATAATTTTGTTATTATAAAAAAACGCAAATGGATATCACTATCTAATATACAGAATGTAAGTAATATTGATAGAATATTGTATAATAATATAAAATAATGTAAAATTTGTGCCATTGAATATGGAATATAATTTTAATGATAAATAAATAATAATATTTAAGAGATCTATTTTGTCTAAATAATAATATTTAGATAAATAATAATATTTATTATAAAATTGTTCGTGTTTGACAATATACAAGATATGAATATATATTTGTGAAATATCTTTAAAGAGTTAATTTTAAAGAAATAAAAACAAAATTTGGCATACAAAAATATTGGTTAAAACTTACATATATTATATTATATATAATAAATAATATAGTTAATATATTAGTTAGATATATTATATAAATATTAATTATTAGATTAACTATTAGATTAATTAAATAGATTATAGATTTTTTGCAAAATCAAATTTTTATGGACAATGACTAAAGAAATATAGTTTAAATAGAAATTTATTTTATTTCTTAAATATCGTAATCACAGTTTTATTTCATGTTTTTTTGAGTATTATATATATTTTGTGTATTTTTGTACATTCTAATTTTGCATAAATATATAAATATCGGCAGTCTAATTATAAACAATGCAAGTTTTCGTCAGATAAAGAGAGATAAAAATAGAATAATTTCACAGAGAGATCTCACTATTTCCGTCTTGTTTCATCTGAATTAATTATAACTTAAATAACTTGATAAATAAGTTTTTAACCGATATTTTTATAGTGACTTTTGTATTTGTTTTGATCTTTATATTCTAAAAATATCCCACGTATATATTAACATACATAAATTACAACATAGACAGTTTTTACATAGTTTTTAAATACATACAGTGTGATACAAAAAAAAATGGCGAAATAAATTAGAAGTAATTATAATTATAATTATAATAATAATTATAATTGAATATTATTATTTATTATTTATTATGTAATTAACTACTTACTTGGGTTGTAATAAAAGAAAATAGAAAAAATTAATTGTTATTAACTCAATCTGTCTTACAACATAAAAAAATATCGTTACATAAAATACCAATTATTTATTGAAACTACATAATTAAAATTATCTCAATAAATACAAGAATATCGCGAGATATTTTATATACGATAATAAAATTGTTTTATAATTTAATGATTCAATTGTATGTTCGATTATGATTTATACAATCAAAGAAAAAAATTATTATTCTTATTTTAGGTCGATGGCGAGGCTTGTCGACTGTTACCATCTATCATAAATCTAAAATTACTAAATAAGGCAACAATGTTAGCGAAACGAAGAAGTTCGAGCAAACCGCAACAAGACGTCAAACTGGAAAGATTAAAATTGCCGGTGATGAAGATCAAGATGTCAGATTACGAGAGATATCATCACGATAAAGATATGTTGAAAAAGTCCGCTATCACGTGGATTATGGAACCTCTTGATCTTGACGCTACCACAGATTTAGAATCTTTAAGAAAGATCCTGGCGAAAGACTATAACATGGACACTTGTTGCTTCCTCGATTGTAAGTATCGCTGTATAGAATTTCCGTTCCAGCCATTTACAGGATTCTTTAGCCGCTTGTGACAACTGTTACAAAGAAAGTTTCTTAAAATGATTTATCTGAATAGTAATAATGTAATTGTTAAATGTTTTTCAAGTTCTTTTTCTTTTTTAAATTAAAATATTTTTAAAGTATAATATATGATATTTTTATATCATAAATAAATGTATCTAAATTATGAATCCAATTGCCAATGGATTCTTATAAAATAAATATTATAGATAATTGTAATTATAATAATCATTTTTATATATTTATAAATTTTGTATATGTATTCTGCATTAATCAAATTTATTTTATTTGTTTTCTTAAAACAATTTAGAAAAATTTGATATCAATTGAAAAGTTTATTCATATTTTGTTACAGAAAACAATTTTAGAATTTATATTTTTTATAACTTTATGTTGCTTTATGTAGTCCAAATTCAATTAATAATTATTTAAGATAATAACTAACGATTAAAAATTCATATTAGAATGAATATGGCTTGAAATTATATTATCAATATTATTCGAATAATTTTTCAGCATGCACTGCGGAACGATTCTTCAGAATCGATAAAGCTCAAGAACAACTCCATTACGTGACCGATGTAGCTGTCGAAACGGTGTACGTTCTCGAAGAGAACGCAAATCAATCAAACGAATCCGAAGAATCGAAGATATCTGTGACTCAAAAATCGGAAACTAACGTATCATCAAGGTACTTCTTTTTATTTATCGAATTAAACTTTTTTTTCACGTTTACAGTAGATTACTCATTATAATTCTGTTCTCATAGATAATCCTTTTCTTAATACTGTATGTTTCATATTTGTTTATAGTAAAGCAATGTATTAATTGTTGATTAAAATTTGTAATCGGCGTTGTATAATTTGAAAGATTTTAATATTTGATTTTTTCTTTTGTTATTTTATGACTTTTAAAAGATAAAAAAATTAATCCTTTGCTCTCCAATGGTGACTTTCAGTCACCACTGGATTGTTGCGGCAACTTGAACGGCGATATTTATTTATGTTTGATTTTTTTAGAATATCGCTTCATAAATAGGTACCTAAGCTCTTTACGTATAATCTTATAAGGTGTAATCTTATTTTATGAATAATTATCTTATGGTAATCTTATAAGGCCACCGAACGCACCGAACGCACGGGTCTAAGACTGGAGTTGCTGGTGGACCAAGCGAAACAGGCCTGGAGTGCAAAGGGTTAATTTGCATGTCATAAGTAATGATAGATATAATAAATAATGTTATAAGTTACTAAATTTAGCCTTAATATTTTTAAATAAAATATGCAAAACTATCTTTTCTAACATATATTGAACAAAAATTTAAGCTTGATAATATTGAATTTTTTTTTTTTTAAATTTCTGAAATTCTATAATACTGTTCATATAACAAAAGTGGAAACGACGTCAGTTACAAATTAATTTTGTTCTTTGTTTAACATAGATTGACTGTTTAGAACCATTGAACAATGTCATAGCATTTCGATAATTTTATTATCTTATTTTTGTTTCTAATCTTTATTATTGCATTGTTGCTCTTTATATTCTGTTGCATGGAAATATTAATTATTATAATAATTATTATAATAATTATTAATAATTATATATTAATTATTTCATATTCTATCTTAGTACATTTTACATAAATTGGATTGCAGTGTGGTTTTTATTTGTCTTTGTTAATTAAATTAATAAATAGAATTAAATAAATTCTTATACTCTAATATATGCATGAACATAATTGAAATATTTAAAATAAATAAAATTACAGAAGTGGTTTTAAACGGTCAATTTTCTTCAAACAAAGAACAATATTTAATCTATATAACATAGTAGTTCACCTATTTATTTTTTATGTATATTGTTCACAGAGAAATTATTGAATAGTTCCGTATACAGTGATCTAAAAAATGATTCGAAGTTACATAATTATGACTCGTAACTTCAAAATAATACCTTGTTTGAACCTTTTATCGCCACTTCACACTTTCGTCCGTGATATCTGTAATGGTAATGGAATCGTATCATTAGATTAATAGAAAGAACGTGTAATATAGCGAAGAACAAACAAAGAAAAGTGCAGCCATGACAAATGAGCAGCCCAAAGAAGAGCAAAAAGAGCAGCCCAACGAAGAGCAAAAAGAGCAGCCCAACGAAGAGCAAAAGGTGCCTCAAGAGGAACCAAAGGCGCAACCTAAAGAAGAACCAAAGGTGCAACCTAAAGAAGAACCAAAGGCACAACCTAAAGAAGAACCAAAGGCGCAACCTAAAGAAGAACCAAAAGCACAAGCAGATACGGAACCGCAGAATGCATCACCTGAAACATCAACTGAAATAAAGACAGAGGTCGTGACTTCGAAATCTCATGAACCGATGAGTAATAACACATCTAAGGATGTATCTCCAAATATGAAAAAGGAGGAAAACATATCTGCAGATGCGACCAAACAAAGCAGTTCCTCAAAATCGATCTCTGCGACGGTTGCCTCTCAGTCGCAACATCAAGCACCACCCACCTTCATTAGGTAAATTCTTTTTATTTTTTTATTTTTTTATATTAATTAATTGTAAGTATAATATATAATATTGCAACAAATATGTAGTTTAAAATTGATGGATGTTGTGATATAAATTGAATCATATAATGAAATATTTATTTTTCCTTCAATATATTTTTTATTTTGAGAATTTTTTTTCTAAAAGGAGTAAGGAAGTGCTTCGTTTAAATCAAATTTGAAATCTCTATTTCATATAATGTTATATTGCTGGTCATTTATTATTCCTTATTTCTTTTAAAAAAGAAATTTATTTTAAAAGGAATGTCTTAATATACTATACTTTAATCTTCTCCACAGAATAATTCGATTTTTAGAATGATTTTTATTATTTATTATAAAGGAATGTTAGTTATGATATCTTAGTGATTAGTGTACTTTCAAATTTTTTTTCTCTAACTTTTCTATTCAAATATTTGAAAAAACAATTTTTTTTGAGGGAACATCTATTTCTATCATCTCTTTTATCTCATTTGTTAATTACTACAACAAGTAACTTTTTAAGTATCTTCTCTTAGAATATTCTCTTCTTTTAGAATATTATACATTTATAATAATTTTAAATAAAACTCATAGTCATAGAATAACAAGAAAATTATTTCTTTGAGTGGCTAATTTATGTTACAGTCCACGAGATAGACTTTTTGGTTTGAGTTCTGAGGTTCACACCTTTAACACGGGATTATTGGAGAAAACCAGTGATGGTATTTTGAAAGCAGCAAAAATAGGCGATCTACAAGCTTTGAAGGAACTTCACGAGAAAGGATATTCCCTTTTGTCAATCGACTCCACTGGACAAACTGCTCTACACTTGGCCTCGAGATATGGCCATAAAAATATTGTCAGATATCTCATCGCTTGTGCACCACCGACTATTCTGAATATGATCGACAATGACAAGTAAGCCTATACTAATATACTATACCAACTGTTTGCTCAATTAAAAAAAAAAAAAAAGAAAAAGAAAAATAGAAAAGATAAGAAGAAATATAAGCATCATAAATCACTCTCTAACTTATTTTAAAGTTTTAATATTTAACTTGATATTTAATATAAATGACTTAGCTTAAATTAAAAAATTTTTTATATTTTTTGATAAATCTGTTTAGAACATGATATATAATGAATTAAAGAGAAAATTTATTTTTGACGCGTAAAAAGGAAACGAGGGAAAAAAAAAAAGAAAAGTTTGTACCTTCTAATTACAGAGGTCAGACCGCTCTGCACAAAGCGGCTCAATATAAACGTCGTTCCATTTGCTGCATGTTGGTAGCTGGTGGTGCTACTTTAATCATCAAGGATCGACACGGCAACTCACCTCGCGATCTAGCCCTACAAGCAGAGGACCGTGACCTCGCAGCGTATTTAAGCAGTGAGTGTTTTGATCTTTTTCTAGATGCTCGTGTGAAAAAATATACGATGCAGCTAAGCGAAGACTGTAATAGCACAAGAAATGAAGAATACTAAAGAATAAGGATCAATTAGAGAAAATAAGATTCTGAATTAATAATTTAATCAGATAATGCTTAAGCAATTTTTTTTCTATTCCTCTATTCTTTTCTACATAATATTTTATAGAATGAAATATTTTTATTCCAAAGATTGTAATTTATTAATCTTATCTTTATCTTTTTCTTAAGTAAGATATTTTATTTTTTATCTCAAAAAATTATTATTTTAGATTATATATATATATATATGTTATATGTATGAATTAAAAAAAAATTTTATACTTTGAGTTTAAAGTTAGTTTCAGATTTATAATGCAAGACTTTTTATTGTTTCTTGATATAACTTTTTGCAAACAAGTAATAAATATATTCTCAAACAATTTTACAAGTATTTTTAAAAGCGGTTTTCAAGGAGTAAAGTATTATATCAATTTCTCGTAAGGCTGCATATTTCCTTTACAATTTTTTTCCATTAGAAACTCGAATAAATTACTACACCACTTTTCATAAATATAAGGATATCTCCTTTGATCTCGTAAAGAAAAAACAAGATATTTTCATTAAAATAATGATTCAAAGAGCAAAATAAAAATTTGAAAAAAATTTTTTTAAAAATTAAAAGAGAAGATAATGAATTAAGAATTAAATTTGCACATTAAAATTAAATAATATATCTAATGATCTATATCTCGTGATCTTTTGATACATAAAAAGCTCTCGCTATTTGAACACTTATAATAAGAATACATAAAATTCTTTAAGGACCTATTTGTCATTCGTTCTCCATTCGAGAGAAAGAATTTTTTATCGATAATATTATATACGACTTTTATTAGCCATTCGATCAAACATCCTATCAAACTGAAATCCTTTCCACTGCCCGAACGGTTCCGACGAACGGTTAAATCGGTTTTATTCATATGTATATCGGTTTTATTGATATATAGGTCAAGAGCAGTTCCAGCTGACAACGGAAGAAATGGAGAACTCCCTCTGACCTCCGCCCTTAATTAGTAGGGCTTGAATTGATCCAGTGTGTAGGAACATCAAGAGAAATGATCCAGGTGTGAACGAACAACGATCGTCACCAACAACGGTCATCATATGATACACGTTCGTTTTCTCTGTTTTTTGCGTAAGTCGCATGTGATAACTCGATTATTCCTTTTATCGGCAAATTAGCGATGTCGACGTATATTTATTAAGGTGCTCTCCATTTCCTTTCTCGTCGAAGCTTCGAGATCCCTTTCCACGAGCATGTAAATTAATTACATTCTGTATAGATAAATTACATATACACATAACACGTATATACGCGTGTCGTGAGATTAGAAATTTTTCGATCGATTAAGAACCTCTATACATATATACATATATATATATTTTTAAATCGTACTTCAATTAGACGAGAAAATTATTTATTATTGTCTTTTAAGTCTCGTCTTACCAACGAAGAAATCACATAAATGTTTATATTCACCGATTTTTTTTGAATTGAAATTAATTATAACAATAAGAATGCCGAAAAATAACACGCGTGCGGATGAAACAGGAATTATCGGCAAAAGAATTTTGCTCATTCGGGATATTGCTGTTATAAAAAATCGTATTCGTATCGTATGAATTTTAAAAATATAAAAATTTTCTTAGAAATGACCCAAGAAGAGAAACCGAATTAGTGAGAGATTAGGATTAAAGGAAAATGATTTAATCGGAAATTTAATTATAGTTAAACATCATAAAGACTAATCTTCATTGTATTCTCGTTTATATGATTTTTATTTTATATTTTTCTACGTTTCCATTTCTAAATATTACGACAGATTATAAATATTTGACAGATTATTAAGTAAATTATCTCTATTGTATTTGAATTTGTAGCGTTGTTGTTCCATAATAACGTAGACACAGATTTTTACATTTTTCGCGACTAGTGGCGCCATCATCTTCCTTAAATGCGAAGGATGCATAAGTATATAGGGTTAGTGTTCACAGAGTTGGGCAGAATTTTTTCGTTCCAGTTATTTAGATCATTGAGACTATTAGAGGATCGTTGATTCACGTTAGAAATTTATTTTTATGCACGTTGTGCGCATTGTTACGATCGTTGTTCGGATAAGATTTTTTCATTTTCGATTCGAAGAGGTTATTCGTAAGAGGTGTATTCGAAAAATTTTGTTATAATCGCGTGATAATCAGAGGATGAAGATGAAATATATTTATCGCCATGGTTATTTGTTGAATTTTATCGAAGAGAAAGAAGTTCTATCCGACTCTGCTGGTATCTCCAAGCGTTCACTTTAATATCTCGTTATATTGTTCTCTCCGCTTGTTCTAGGATACCTCGTTGCATTGGATATACATATCTTTTTCTATAAAAAAAAGTCTCGCGTTAATATACATATATATTATACATATACATATATTTTCTACGTACGTTAAATACTGATATAATATTTATTGTTCTTAAGATAAAAAGATTTCTTCACGATGCTGTTTTATTCTTGTCCGTGAACATTCGTTGCACTTCTTGCCACTGCTTGGATATACATGGAAAAACGCGTATATACACGTGATTTTATATACAAGCTAAAGATGGAAAATGAAATGGACAGTTATGTAAAAAATCGGATAGTTGGAAAATACTTTCGAATTTTCATATATGGGATCGGTGTGATATAATTTAATGTGTTTGCGTAATCTGAAATATAATTGTTAGATATATTGTTTTCGTGAATCATTTATAATATATAAATAAAATTATAGAATTTTGATAAAAAAAAAGGATAACGTCGATTTAAAGAAAAAAATGTGCCAATCAGTCGATGAATCGGTGGAAACTTAAATCAGGTTTGCATTGCTTTTTGATTCAAAATGATATTGCATATTTTTATAATGATTGATTATAAATTAATAAAAAAACATATTCAATCTGTAATATTTCAAACCAAGAATCTTGAATTCAAGATACATTTTTACGTAAGTAATTTATTTTCTTTCATTTATATTTGAAAATCATTTATATTTGATTCTATATTTTTCGATTCGAAAGTAATTCATAATAATTTTTAAATCATAAAAAAATGATATTTCCTATTTTATTTGGGAATTCGTGCATTGTAAACATGTAAACACGACTTAAAGTTTCCATTATCCATTGCTATACACCGATCGCATTAAAAATTCGAAAGAAACAAAATCTCTGATGTACCAAGCAGTAATGTTCACCTATTTAAGCGATATTAATCGATTGAGAAATGAAAAGAAGCAGAGATCGGATGAAGAATCGGCGATCGGTAATAAAAAAAGATAAGAGATCGGGAAGAAGAATTATCATAACTCGGTACCAAAATGAAAAAGGGGATCAACGTACGAACACCAATTAGCTCTTAAAAAAAAGACGGTCTATCGTCGCTTATTATTATACTATTACTAGACTATTCTAATTTTATTGTCGAATTATATCGTATAACGTATATATAGTTACTTCTTCGAGCATTATTCGTCCTATGGACATGATAAGATCGTTTTTGAACAAAATGGAGCCACAATGATATATATATGTATATATATATGTACATATATATACATGTAGATATATACGAGGTAAGTTATCCATGTTGGACACTCGCGAATCCATATTCACGAATGTTTAATATCAAATACTCTCGACTAGATTCGCGTTAACGTTCAAGTATTTAAATAACCACCTCGACAAATTTATTATGGAGAATAATAGTTTCTTATTTCATCAAGCGTATCGCGTATATATATCTCTTTTCTCGCGCTTTTCTCAAGGGATCTTTAATCCCTCGTTTTCAATTATATAATGATCTACATATTTTTATTATAATTAATGAAAGAGAAAAAAATGATCCAAAGGATTCGTGTGAAACGATTCAACGATTTCACGATCTAGTTGTATATATCATTCATAGTTCTCGTATGGAGAAAACTTAACTCTTATCAATTAACCGACGTACGATCGATGTTCAACGTATAAAAGAAAAAGAAAAAAAAAAAAAAAGATTTTCTACGAATCTAAAAAGTTTTCAACTCGAATCCTAGCTTCGAATTTTAGCTAATTTTGAACGTTGAAAGTAATAGGAGGAAGAAAAAAAAGAGGGAAGGGGGGGAAAAGAAGAGAAAAATAGGAAATCGTATTCGAACGAATCGAGAGATATCGATATTCGCGCGTGTCCACTCCTCGTTGTGTCTCTTATCCTCTGTAATTAAAACTGATATTTTTAAGCGATCGAGTTATAGATCGAGTTTAGAGAAGTTTCGCGGCAAGGAGATCGCGCATGCGCGTACCTGCCGTGTATCAAGTAAACTAGATTGTAAGTATACCAGTAGAGAGAATTGAAGGTATCCAATAACGATGGTGAATCGATTCTAGAAATGCCTTCGTGCGTAAGATACCGTTGTTCTGATTATTTTTTATATGTAGTGTAATCACGATGCCTTTGTAATTCTATCCCGAGAAAATGAGCCACGTACATCGAGCGAACGATCGATATTTCCACTGTATTTAATGTCCCTATTATATTTAAGCGTGGTCCTTCGCGCGATGAACGTCGGCCACGTCGATTTAAAAGAACCATGAGAAAGCGGAAGCTAGAATTAAATCACGCTGAGCAGCTTTAATGTATTAGTTGAAAATTTTTATTTAATTTATATAAAGCCTTAGTCTCGATTGTTTAAGTTAAGTTAAGCTGAGAGGACGAAATTTTTTTTTTTTAATTAAAGTGAATTTTAAATTTACCAAGTATTAAATTAGAAATCTGTTGACTTTGTTATTTGAATTTTATTAAATTTAAATTAAATTGACGTTTCAAATAAATTATTTTCCTTCTTTGTAATTCTTTATTTTCTGTTTTTATTCCCATGTTTATTTTTTTTTCTCTCTCTCTCTTCTATCGGTAATTCAATAATCGTAAATTATTTCTTCAAATTGTTGACTCGAACATTACTGCGAACATTACTCTCAAATCCATCGCCATCTTTGTTATCGTCCATCGTGATTATATATCTGATTAAATTTTTTTAATTAAACGATTTAAACGATTATAATCTGATTTAAAAATTTCCATTCAATGACCAAAAATTTTTTGTTTCTTTTTTTAGAAATCGGTCCGCGATGAAAAGAGAGTCCTTTGATTATTTCTCGTTTCACGGAGATTTTTCTTCGTTTGCGCGAAATAAAAATCGTTAAATCGAACGATTAGAACGAAAGAGATTAAAATACTTTGAAATCGTGTTAAATCGTCGTGAATTAATTATGATAATACCGTAACTTCTTACCTTATCTATCGTCTCATGGAATCGAGATGTATTTCGAATCGTTTCAATTGTTCGGAGATTTCGATGCGTGTTTGTGTAACTTCCTTACCGATCGAGTTACTGATTATAATATACGAATTTTGCACTTTTCAAAATTACAAGTCATATTCGTATCGACGTGTAAATGTTTCTAAGAAATATTTTACTAGGTTTTAAGTAAAAGATCTGAAAATAAAAAATATACATATAACGAAATAATAATTTCTCAATAATAATTTTCTCGACACTATATTTCTAAATCGTAATAAATAAATGCTCGATATTGAAATGATTGATCAACGGAGGGAAGAAATTAACGAAGAACGAATGAACGTAAATGTCATAATTCGATTTCATCTACAGAAATTATTCAATTACAGAAAAGTTCCGCATTTATTTTAAGATAGTTATTGTATAGAACATGTTCCTTACACGTGAAAGTTTTTCGAATTTCTTAAAGATAAATGTTTATTCGAATTGCGAAACAATACGATATTATTCTTAACTATAAAACTATATTAACTTATGAAATAATATTATTCTTAATATAATTCGAGACGTCAAAAATCGAAGGGGATTCTAGATATTGATTTTTAATAATCACGAAATATGAAAACAAAAAATCCAAAATGATGATGAATATATTAAACTGACGACAACATTTATATTGAACACGTATGCCAAAAAAGGCAGATATGAAAGAAAACTTTATCATCTTTCATATTTTTTGGAAAAATTTATAATGCGACTGTACGCGTCAACCGCCACAAAATAAGAAATCTCCATTACAGTCTCGAATGTGTTAACTATTAACAGATAAAATCAGAGATACGTGGGAAAATATTTAAATTATCACTTATATACTATATTGATCGTTATTCTCTATACGATTACTCGTTACAATTTATAATAATTATCTTGATAAAAATTTAATTCTCTTCGAAGATGTTCTTGTTATAATTGAGCGAGAAAAATTCTATTTCACACGTTAATCCAATTTTCTCGTTGATTCGTGTACATACCAAAGAATAACATAAAATATTTAAACGTAAATCGATTGAAAAAATAAAAAAAGTAAGAGGAACGAAAACGATCGAAATCTTTGAAAATGATATTTTATTCTGATGAACGCAAATTTATTCGTATGTGCGTTTAATAAATGTATTTTTACCGGTGTAATTGAAAATTAAAATCAAGTATCGATTATAAAGTAAACGTATTTCAATTTTTCAAGAATGAGCTTAAATTTTCTAATCTCTTTTGCGTATGAGATTGAACACGTGACATTTTTAGATATTGCTTCCCTTTTCCGAACGACATCACTTTGAATGGAACGGGGCAATTCAAGATTCCCTTTGAACTTTTTTCAGTTTAATCTTAGCCTTTAATCTTCGTCGACATTCAATAATGCAACTCCTGTTCTTCCTTTTCTTTTTTTTTTGTGCTTCTTCTTTTTTCCTTTTTGTTCAAATCAATTGATCAATAAGAAATCGTTCTATCGTAAATTTAACGCGTTACAATGTTTCTTAAAGATTCTAAGTATTATAGTAAATTTCAGAACAAATTAGAACAAGTTATATCGATGATATGATCATACTAATGATGATTAATCTTAAAAATTTTTTAAAAATTAAAAAGAAAATTGTATGGTATTTATGAAAAGTGGAAATTCAATAGATGTCGATGTGCATTTCAATGAATTTTGATACGAAAAATTTGAGAATAATAACGTGTTACGCATCAGTGTCAATCAATAGTGACTGATAGCAAGTTTTGTATTCAAATTATATTCCATGAATGTGTGATTCACCTAAAGATTTGAATTGTTGATGTTGTAGTAATAGATATATGTACAACATATCGATCGAATACATAAAAATTTAATTTTCTCTTTTAAAAATATAAAAATATTTATGATAATAAATTATTGTATATTGAATCTTTGAAATTGAAGATAAACTAATAAAGAAATTTTAAGAGGAATTAAATTTTCTAAATTAGAATAGAATAAAGAATTTTAGATTTAATAATTATTACATTATTATGAAAATTAATCATGGAA